TAGGGTTTATGGGGGTTAGGGTTTAGGGTTTAGGGTTTATGGGGGTAATATAAGGATTATACAGGGTTTATACGGATAATATAGGGGTTATAGAGGGATAATGGAAAAGAAAATGGAAGCTACCATAGTATATTAGAGGTCCCTTTAAAAGCGAGATGTCATGACATGAGCCAGAGTCTAAACTCCTTAAAGGGAGTTATCTACGGGTTTAGGATTCAGGGTTTAGGGTCTAAACTCTTCAAAGGGGGTTTATCTTGGGGTTTAGGATTTAGGGTGTAGGGTCTAAACTCCTTATAGGGTTCTTATACAGGGGAATACTATAGGTTATTAAGGTGGATACTAAGAGGTTAGACTTAGACTATAGCTGACATGGCCAATCCCCTAGACTTTAAATCGAAAGCCCTGTAAGCCCAAGGCCCTTAAGTCTACAACCTTCACACCCTACTATCAAACCCACATCCCCAAACCTTAAACCCTAAATCCTAAACCCTTAAACCGTAAATCCCGTATTTCAACTTTCATCTTCAAACCTTACACCACAGATCCTGCACCTCTGGGGGCCATCGGGTAGAATCTCTATTGCTGGGTGGGATTTGGAAAGCAAGCCTTTCCCTAAGGGTCCAAGGACTCAAATAATAGGGCTTCAGGGCCCAAATACCATCAGTACTATAGAAATTGGGTCCTATATACCCCTATATAAGCCCCATATATCCCAATATATCCTTCTATAACCCCTTTAAAGGGACCCTATCATTTGGGTCCTTGGACCCTTAGGGTTTCAAGAACGCCTAGAATTCTACAGGTTTCTATTGTGCAAGAAGCAACTCCTGCACATCTTCATCATCCGTACAAAAACAGGTTTGTAAAAATGGCAACTACCCTAAGCATCCATGTACCTAATAATCATATACTTACCCAAAACCTATACTATAATTACTATTCCCCAAAACCCAAGTACCTAATTGTTGGGTACTCGGACCTTTAGGGCTAGTTTTTGAAGCTTTGCAAGCCGTCATGCGAAAGCAAGACTTGAACGCTGTCGCAGAATTCTTCACATTTCTCGAGACAAGCCTTCACAAACCTTGCGAGAGCTTCCTCACCCCTAAATCCTAAACACTAGACCCTACCGTAAGAAGGTTTGTAAACCTAGATAAGTTTTTCAACGTTGCCAGAACCGAAGGCTTCCCTGAACTGTAGAAGGCCTAAAAGCTGAAACCCGCTCCTAACCACAAACCTGAAGGTCAATCTGCGGGTTTCCCAATACTACAGGTAGTTTTTGTTGGGGGTCCTTATGATAAGGATGAGGGTTTTTGGGGGTCCATCATGGGGTCGCCCTATTTAGGGAAATTACCATGTTCCCAACATTTCAGTACTGGGCTTTGGTACCAGGAATTATTGTAAGTACGGGCATGGGGGAAACCGATTGGGCAGTTGGACCTCAAATGTAGCTAACATATTTGTACGAAAGCCATCAAGAGAGCCAACACAAATTACTATCCATTCCACATGTTTGTGGGCTTCAGGTAGGAGCTTTCGGGCAAAAGCTGGGCAAACTATAGCTGGCTCAAATCTGCTCACCCTCAATTGCAGTTATTATTGGCATATTACCTTGAGGCCTTCATTCAGGGTTGTGAACTGATGCTAACTTTGCCGACAGAAACGCCAAACCTTAAATCATTTCCCAGATGGAAGCTGGTTTTATGCGCCGCGCCGTGAACATGTTTTGTGGCCTGGCGCCAGATATGCATTGCTAGTCGTAAGCTCATGGCATATTTTTTCCGGTGACGCATCTACACAAGGGATTAGGATTTACGGTATGGATCTTTGGGGGACCTGGGTACTATTTTGGACTGACTTATAAGTCTACTGATCCCAAACCCTAAGCCCTAAACCTTACCTCTTAGGGCCAATGTAGGTCTTCGAGATGAAGTAGTACCCTAAACTCTGTTCCGGCCCCCATGTGTAGCTAAACCAAGTGA